TGAGCATAGTGGTTATCATACACTGATATACAATGATCATGCGTATCGCGTTTGGAACCATTTTTGTTCATTATTGAATCTCTTTTTGAAAATTGAACAGTAAGATTTATATATGGGAAAGAGCTGCTAAATGAAGCCGAGCAGTATAACCAATCTTCTAGGTAGTGGCTGAATTGTCTATCCATATAGATCACAAACGTTTATGGGCTTGATTTATGGATAAATAATGTGAGAGATTCCGTAATCAAGTGTGTCACGCTTTATGTCTGGTTTCTTGAAGCGAAGGTTGCACGACTGGGAAAAGTAGGAAAGCTTTGAACGATGCTAGGCTCTATTCCGCCCGTCCACTGGTTAAGCCAATGCATAACTGAACACAACAACGTATTTGTTGAACGTCAATTGTATTCAAAGTATTGTGTTCAAATTTTATTCTATCCCTTTGACACAACACGAATCAGGCAACCATCCGTCCCGCGCTGCTTCCCAAGTAAAAATACTCAAAAGATTACCGAGGCAATCACATACCCTGGAAATAGAAAAGCGATGGACAGATATGCAGTGGGCTCTATTTGAGACTGCCAAAGCCGCCAACATTGGTCAAGGTCCAACAACGAGATATGGGTAGAACCGAAGGATATCTGCATCCCAAACTGCGCAGTTAAACGCTAGTAAGTCGACTCCACGGGATTCCAGATAAGATGAGGCACGGGGTTGCCCTAATAAGCAACTGGTTTGTACCACGAGGAACGAAGGTGTGTGCTGGTGGGTCGTGACGTTTATGGGGAGGGAAATCGCCGTAAAACATTCGTCTCATTAAAAAGGCCGAGCCACAAAACCCGGCGTCAATGAACTGATGGAAGCGTTTAACGGCTTACTGATTCAAACTCAGGAGGGTCGTCTGGTTCGTTGTGTGGGGTACTGAGAAGAGCTGTTTTGTTTTCATTTACCTATGACAGCCAAAGGGGTACAGCTCTGATTGATAACAATAAACGACCGTCAGGAGCCGACATTTTCTGTGACATGAGCTACCTTAAACGAGATAAAATTTCCTGAACGGATCGGTTGCTTTCGTTCATTTTCAAAGACAACACTGGCATTAGATTGAACCAAACTCCCCTCCGCTTGGTTTGGGATATGGAATGTGTTTCAGAGAAGTCGCGTAAATCAGTGATGGTAGCGATTTGCAGGAAGCTTGATGGGTCCTCCTATGAGAATTACATGAGAATCAGTCCGATGAGCATGGCATCCAAGATGATCTCTGGTATAATGCTCCACCGCGTATCAACCGCTCCAAACGGTGCCCGCCCCAGAATCAACCCGGGTTCATTCCCGGTTGAGTTTTATTCGATCAAATCTTCCCCTCTCGATATCCCTGACAAACTAGGCGAAACTCCCTTAAACCCATCACCGTCATTACAATTGGTATTTTAAATATCGCCAATTCAGTTGACCGCAAAGGTCTTTGGTTCCAAATCTTGCTGAGAAATGTAACCAGAAAACTTCATTTCCATCGCAGATTTCATTTACCTTAAGAGTCGTACCTAATATTGGTATCCCGGTGATACTTTACACAAGATCACCACAAAAAGCGATGAAAAGAACGTTGCACCATTTGTCTTTTCTACCAAACAATGTGACCACTGTGTTTCAACACATGGCAATTACGCCAAGGGAGTTTATTGTTTATAATTGTGTCACGGTTGAAAAAGTAATAAAAATTGAATCTGCGGACAATATAATTCATCTAAGCGAAAAGTCATTTAAGTTGCAACCTCCTCTAATCAGCTTGACTAGCTGCGTAGCAAAACTCGGTAGGCGTTTTGCATCTTTAATGTGCAACATGCTATTGCAGGATACGGTTCGTCCAACACAAAACCTTTCAGTACCTGTGGAAATCATATACCAGTTAGACAAGCCCATTTATATGGGCTGCTGTTTCTCACCCTGAAATTTCATATCGGATGAGGTGTCATTGCGAATGCATAGGACGCGTCTGACTTTCATCAGCGTGAGTCATCTGTGGCGTCCACATGAGTTTTCTTTACCCATCAAGGGTCGAGGGTCATTCTACCTACACAAACCGTTCACGATTACTGTACTAAGCAAATATGATGGAGGTGAATAGTGAACTATCCACATTGTATCGAGTTATTCAAAAAAGATCTCATAGGGATACTCATTCCGGTATTAGGTTTTTTCGTATTTTCGCTAAGTAACGTGATAGCACTTGATTGTGAACAGATGATAGACTGACGGGATGTTTTAACAGATAGAAATCGGATATGTATATATATATATATACACATACATATATATGGAGAAGAAATGTAATAAACAGTAGAATCTGACCATGTCGTTGGCCAAATTTCCAGACTAGCAAAACAGTCGTGTTTTTATAAATTCTGCTCTTTAATGATCAGTGCCATCTCACTTCTCAAAATATACACTGATATGAATCCATTTGTGTCAAACGGTCTCTCCCACAATGGTTCGTGGAAACAGGCATGGCACTCATTTCACCTCAGATCTTTCTAAAGCACAGGCCAAATATGGACGTGGAAGTGGCCTGGCCCTTCACCAGTAATCTTGGTAAAAAATATCCAATTTTTTTATTCTCTTTTAATTTGTTCACAGGTGTGTCTAAGGGATTTGGAATTGGAGGAAAGACATAAGCACGAATCATATGAGTGAATACAATGTACGAATTCTTTCCTGACCCACCCAAAATTACTTATATTCCATGTCTGTAAGAGTTGGTTGAGGTAGACCTAAAGAAAACCCGGCTGATCGCTGTCGTAGAAAATTCCAAGTGTGAAAATAAAACTCCGCGTTTATCTCCAGCGATTGAATGTATTGTATTGTATTCCACGAAGTGAGGAGTCAGCAGTGTGTTCACTTGATCTATTTCATTTGGTTCAGCAATTTGTTGGCATTGTTAGGACGTATCAGAAATAATGACGCTCGGATTACAGTAGTTTCTTCGTAGTTTATTTTCACTTTTCAATGAAAATACCTGGATAATTATGGATTGAATAGGACGAGGCATGTGTATCCAACAACTAAAACGAGTATATTATATCTCATTGACGGTAATATTTGTTTCAGTTCAGCTGAAGTGCTAAGCGATGACATGCATTATAAATCTGTATTGAATATTCCTTGCGATCGCAAAGTGAAATTGGTTGTTGGATTAGTCGAAAATCCCACCCACCACTACAATGAAACTGGCAGCGACAAAGAAACAGCTACCACGTTTTGTATTACATGCTTGTGCATACGTGCAGTGGAATGGGCATTTACCCCATAACCACGAAGGCCAACTGTACCATTGGGGACAACGGGCAACCAGATACCGAGGGTTTAGGTGGCGAAAAATCATATAAGGCCTCAATAGATCAGGTGTGTAACTCTTCCGGACCACAGTGGATTGCTATCTACCACAACAGTAACCGGTGATGACAGGAATTCGAACCTCGGACTTCATACATGGTAGGCAAATGCTGTAGCCCACTAGATCACCGCTACAAATATGCATCACTTTCCCCACATTACCATCCTAGTGCTCAAATAAATCAGCATCACAAAAACAAAACCCACTGAAACATGCATATGTATGTTCTTTGTCCCCCTAACCGAAATGGTTCCTTTGGTAGAGCTGAAAAACAGACAGCCGAGGAAGACGATCAATATCAAAGATATTTCCTACTTCTTGCTGTGGAAGCAAATTACCAGCCTTATCAGTAGAAAACTGAATTTTCCAATAACAAAGATGAGCTACATAAAGATGTTCCAGTTTTTGGACTTCTGTCTTTTGCACAAGGATCGCAAACAGCTCCATTCAATGATAAGCATCAGGAAATCGTGCATCAGGCTCACTTCCTGATTCCTGTCCATGCAAGTTTGATCTGTAGTATATAAGGAAAGAGTTTTCACGTTCATAATAATGATCTCCAATATGTTATCTGCATATGCTTGAGGCAGCGATTATTGTGTTCTAATGGGAATCAACGATTATAGGGAAAATGTTCGTGCATAACTGTTTTCATGTTTGTTCGTTTACATTTATATTCCTTCTAAACTACACGCAGTCAGTACATTTCTCAATCACAATGAAAAATGAAAAATGTATAGGATCGGATAAAATTGTTCGTATTCCTAAGAGAAATGAAATGTTTCCGTGGGTGACATCCAGTCGTTTACGTGTTTCCATTTGCCAACAGGCGACTGTTAATCTATCGTGGCACGTAGGCTGGCAAACTGACTCAAATCTCTCTCGCACACAGCAGTTTGGAACTAAAGAGAAATATGGACATTTTGAAGCATTCTAAAATAAATCAATTTCCACAGCCGGTACTTCAACCAGCATTTATTTGCACGTTTCATATGCAGCATGCATTCCGAATCACGATCAGCAGAGAGATTTGTCTTCAAATTCCACTTTACACGTTCAACTACCAACCGATGCACCACAACAAGCTATCCATTCGATATGGTCTTGTACTACACCAAATTTGACATTTGGAAATACAGACTGCGAAATGTTGTTTTATTCACTGTGTTCAACACGTAATGATGCTCATCCTTTGAATAAGTCTCCCTGGTTATCATCACCTCATCGAATAGAAGGGATTTACCCGCTATGATCGCTGCACGCCGCTAAACGTGGTCAGAAGTACTTCCACTGAAACAGACTATTGGATCTTCCGTTCAATCAGATTTATTTGATCATTCACACCAAGGAATCCTTCATTATCGACCCAAAAACTCATCCGTGTTGGCTGACAGGCTGACCTTAACTGCAACCTTTAGCCAAGATGACCCTTTCGCTAATGTTCAGCGCCGAAGTACGTCCTCGGTTCGTGCAAGTGTCCGATCTTAGACTTGTTCTTCGTTCCCGCGTTCATGTTCATACATTAGCGGATTTCGTGGAAGAGGCGTGAACAAACTCATGTATAACTGACTCACTCCTGGTAATAGATTGCTTTAAACTGTTCCGGCAGAACAGGACGTCATCTAACAATTCTCATTGCGCAGTGGTCACTTACGTCAACTTCACCGAGTGTGGTAAGTCCGAAGTCCTTTATTCATGTTCGGTGAACGGTATTGGTCGATCAGTTATTTGGTGCCGTCTCAAGTTTTCTCGCTTTATGGGAACCATCAAAACAAGCTTATATGTAGCTCCGTTTCGTACAGAAAACTCTACTTCATCTTACTATTTTTCTATTAAGTTTCCCGGATTCCTTGTTAGATGACGATTTGCACATCATAGAAGGCAGTCTTATTCGTGCTTCCCACTACTTCAAGTAAAACAGCCTAATATAGAATCGTCTCCTAAACGTTTTCTCACGACGGCTATCTTCTCCTAAAGTAATCCCTTTATCATGCATCATTCTGGTTTAATTTCAAATCGTCGCTATGTAGCAATTTCAAATATCCCAAAGAGACAATCAATTTATTTTCAAAATATGCCGCCACTTCTCTATAACCGCCATGGCATTTCTCCGATATTGAAATCCGTTGCAAGACGGGAGGAATATTTTAACAAGAGCTGGGATAATTCTCAAGTAAGGTCAATTTTCCTTTTGATAAAGAAAGAATTCAAACGCACTGACTCGATGTATGCTAGTCAACTCCCATGTAACCACAATAGATACGACTATGGTGAAACATTTAGTTATGGTGTGGAAAGAAAACGAAACGCGAAATTCGCTGCGCATGTTCACAATATCAGCAGTGCATTCATCCATCAAATAAAAAACTCTCGAATTGCGTTTATTCCAGAAAATGGTATACACATTACCCTGTTCTCTACAGAATATGTATTGGGGCTTCATGCGTCTTCTGAATAACGTAAGATACTGGTCCTGACGGCCCGTCATCATCGCTTTTGAAAAATAGTGCTGTAGCCCTGATAGATGCTTTTACTTACTTCTTGAACAAATCATTGAGCTCGTTTTCCATTCCCGACTACTGAAGACCAGTCACTATTGTTCATGTACCCAAACCCTGTAGTCATAGTTTCCTAGCTGAAGGTGTTTGTCCCACTGATCCAAATTCATCTGGTTCCTAACCTACGGAGCTTGACGTTCATCAATGTTTGATTTGTTTCAAAGACCTAGCCAATGATCTTTACCAATTCGTCCATAAAACAAACGGGCCCATTTCGAATACTTTATCTTCCCTAGTCCACCATATATCCAAATCCTTGGGTAGATCACTCGAGTCTTTAGCATTTATTTTTGTTAGCTACTCATCAGCTTTATAACCTATCCGGCCATCTTCCTACCTTCCTGAACTGAAAGCTTCCGGTTGACCAACAGCCCCGCTCTTTATTCCCTGGTATGTTTTCTGATCTACTTACGAGAATATTCAATTATTTGTGCAGGTCTGCCTAGTACCAATCGGGCAATTTTTATACCTCTTACTGAAATATATTCCAGGTTGTGCGAAATACTCATGCTCAAATGGTAATAGTTCGTCCACAAAAGCCTTGCATGCTGTCCAATTGTAATAACACCACTGCTTCGCGTTCTTCCTTACTATCCATAACCTCTCGCATTCACATCGACAAAAATGCTACTGTTCCTCATGTTGCTTGACTCCTCACAAACTGAGCACGAGTATCAGCCACATTTCTGTCAGATTTGATGTGTAATCTTTCTTTGTGTCCCTCTGATTCAATGAGATGCAAACTATGAGGTTTTCCGACTGAAGTGCGAACGTCAGTCGACGCAACAAATTTGGTCAAATAGAAATACAAAAACAAGTTATTCTCACCTCACCTACATGACGGACAGCATTTTCGACAAAAATCAAACTGAACCACGTGATGTTTTGCACCAACTTATAATATAAAAATAGACAAAAGGAAGTCGATTGTTTGTGACCACGTTTTAAATGAGTTCTATTAGTGCAACCCAATCACGCTAGTCATACAAATTGTTTCCATTTGCGAATTCGAATACTGCAAAACAAACCGCATGCCGATCAATGAGAACAGTATCACGTGATATCGTATGTATTATGAACTTCACGGTTGCTACGACAAGTAATACAATTATTATACCATAAACATGTCATACATGGCATACATTGCTACATAAATGTGACTAATAAACACGTTCGCGATTCCAAGCAGTTTCTTGTGTCACGTACCACGTGATCAGATACATATTAGTTCTTATCATCACAGAGCTGGAGAAGTTCATCGCAGAATCCTTAGCATCTGCTTCACGTTTGTAATGCTGAGACATATTATGTCACGTTTGAATGAACTATTTTTATTTGCACTTTAAATCTCTTACATCAATAAAATTGCTAAGATAATTACTAAAATCACAGAAGTGAGAAACTGTGCGCGGACCTATGCGTGATAACGCGTTTCTTCTTTATTTCTTCCTTTCATTCAGGCTTTTCTAAAAATGCAGTTGAGTCAGGTAACAAAACACATACATACACACACACAAGCACACATTCACCACTGTTACACCTTCGACTTACATCTGACTATAGCACACAGACCAGTAGACAAAACGTCCCGAGCTCTTTCTGTATACATTGAACTTGCAATACACGGGATCTAGCCAGTTCATGCAATAAATGGATTGAATTTGTCCTTACGTACGTTTTGCACGAATATTCTACTGGCCAGTGAATTGACTACAACGTTTCGGTCTAGAACAAAACTATCGACCCATGAATGAGAAAATGCCATACGTTGTCTGTAATCATTCCAAACAGCCGACACTTTCGAGTTGGCTGTTTCTGTCTCTTTGAGTAGTGAGGTGTGCATGTTTATTTTTGCTCATGGGTGTCGAGCTCATCACCTTTCATTGTTGCTAGCTATGGGAGCAGTGAGATTTTGATCCTGGAACCCTGTCTTCACACAATCTTGAACCGTACGATCTCGTCGAGCACGGATTTGATGGATTTGATGTGGGTCTATTCATACATTACTATATGAACGTATTTCACAATCGTGGAGGAACGCAAAATGGTAAGATTGGTGACACTGAACGCTTTTTATCATAAACATTTTCACTAGTGCAAGCTGAACGTAGATCGCACGTTAAGTTCTCTGAACGAACTGTATTCAGTTTGAATCTTTATTCATTGGAATTGAATTCAAGTGTACCTGGAAACGGCCGATTTTAAGCAAAATGCTATCAGGAAGACCTTTTAGTGTCTACTGAAGCAAGAGTAGTAGCAGGACATTATGGAATAAAATTGGTTCTCTTGGAAAAATGGAATGAAATAAAAAGGGTTAAATAGGTAAGGCAGTCAGGTGCAATTTTAGACTTCATAGTGAACACCACATAAATAGCGTAATATATGTTTTTTGCGTTTCACTCATCCCAGATGATGTAACATATTTATTGTAGACTAGTACGAATAAGGGATGTTGATTATAATATAATTAACACGTAACTGACACTACCTTGGTACTGACAATATGCAACAAGTTGATTATTCATGCTGTGACCTCATTTCCCGCGAATGTGAGGTTTCCTCGTCAACCGAGATTCAGGGGTAGGTTGGTAGTTTTAAAGTGATACTTGGAATGATAATGATACAGTTATGCAATTTGGTCTCAATCACCTAATCATCGCAACGGATAGGCTCATTTAATCACCCCGCATTGAGATCTCATCCAGAAATGTGATGGAACACCTCTTCTTCGATGAAGAAGCAGGCGATCTTTGTTTTCATTTCTACCAGCTGATTGGCACTTTTTTCTGGTTGAGTCATATTATATTGCCCTCGGAACGGCAAAACTAATTAGTGTATGAGTCCCAAAATGACTAAGCTTTGTTCCCAGTTTCGAAATCATTCACGCTTATTGCTGTTTTATGTACACCGTCAAAATAGTAAAATGGCGTATTTCTCATGGATTTCCGTTAATCAACTATTCAACCCCTCAGTGTTATTCAGTCAAATCAGAGAAGAACAGAAACATTTATAAACATAAACTCCAGCAAATTTAGCCACAAAACGAAGTTTCTTGGGTGAGGAGTCAAATGACTTTCTCGTGCGGAAAGAGTAGGTTGGTTTGGTTCCCAATCCAATGAACGCGCTTTATGGATATTTATCCAAAATTCAATTCCCGTATGATAGATGTTGGTGTACAAAAATATTGGAACAAGTCAAGAAAAATGCCACAACGCTGCGGACCAATCAACCAGCAGTGGTAATATTGGTTATATGGTTGAAAACTGAGAATCGTGAATAAAGACCTGCTCAGCATTCAACTGTTTCTCCTGAGTATGTCCACCTGTTACCTCACAAGCTGTGGTTCTGATAAAATACTCTCTTGATGAATTTGACCGCTTATAATTGATACCATCTTTGTGTCGCTCAAGTTGTGGTCACACTCCCCATATGTTGACTGATAGTCCCACTTTTATCAGACTTGTCGTAGTGCCTACAACTTGTCCAGAATTTGATTGTAACTGCCACTGAAAATCCCCTTTGGTATATAAATTTCCATTTGCTTGTTGCATCCTGATCGTTTTGTTGATGATCGGCCTGATATGTATCCGAAACTCCTGTACAAAATCCGCAAACACAAAGCGTTGTAAATAATACATTTTTAATCGCGGTGACATTTGATTACAAATAATAAGTCATGGGTAAAAGCATGCCGACTTACGAGCAGACTAAAGTTCGGGCTCTTACGATGAATGCAGTGACTGACAAATTCAAGTATATCACCAGAGGCATGGTGAATACTGGTTTATACGGTCTAAATAGCTTTAGAGCTGCAATGATCGTAAAACTGGTTGAATGCTTCCAGCGTAATTTTGTTCCCCTCAGTGTACAGCTGACCATCATGACAAATATTGGTGTGGTATAATGTCGCACATTTGAACAACGTACAATTAAATCATGCGGCACTTACTCGACACGATGTCCTTGGGATTTTCAATATTATTTATTAGACACCGTCTACTATATGCCAGACCCTCAAATACGTGAGTGAATTACGAATAAATACACTTTGTTGTTGAAAAGGAAACTGGTTTTGAATTGCTCCCGGAAATTTGACGTTGTCTTTAGGGGGTATTTTTGATCATGAAGGTTGGAAGATTTGACAAATTTTGAGTTTACTCGGATGTTATACGTGCCAAACTTCGGCGGGATTCCAAAACCAGGTATCGGTTCCGTCCACAAGCTCTTCCCGTGTATTCAATTGTCTGATTCCCTTACAACGATATCCCTCTCCAGGATTGCAAAGCAGTGGAGTTTCAGTACCCATTTCATTTCGGTGAGCGCATTCCTTGATCCCCGAGCACAATATTTAAAGCCTTCCGGATTGGCGTTGAAGAACACGTTGTACAGCAAGCGCGAACACAAAGCTCGGGAACCATCTGTGGTTGGTTTTCAAACCCGCCAGAGTCCACGACATTTCACGTTTAAGAATTTGGACACATGACGCACCTGTATTCCTCCCCATAGATGAAGGGAATCTCGGGATGGTCTTGAAATCACAACTGAATGATGTAGGATTGAGTGGAATGGAGTTCAAATTGTCGCTAAACATTACATCACCACGTGGTGACATATTGCTGCATCAGTCCCAGCTTTAGGGGAATGAGCATGCTGTTCAAGACTATTTGGTTGGGAAAAGTATGGAAAATGTAGCCAGTATTTATCCGTCTGAGAGCGTGTCAAATCAAGTCTTGCAAAGGTCTGAAGTGAAATAGACCAGTTAATAGGTTAACTCCAGCTCCATTCTTTTAGACTGCACTCAAATATTTTCAGTTTAATTCACATCGCTTCAGTGCAGATCAGTTCAGTGCACATTTGAAAATTTTCCCTTCTGTATATAACCGAAAAAAGTTGGGGGTAATTTGGAACTCACCCAGTTTTCTTATCATGACCATACATTGTCAAGTCTAATGGATGAGTTTTTACACCCTTTGTATACGTCACGGACTGACCAAACCGAATCATATTTTAACCGGTACTCGCCTACGCGGATATTACGCGCCGAGGAATCCCGTCGGGGACATGCGCCACACATGTCCTAAACGTATTTACCCAGTAAGCCTAAGTGCTTCATCTAATCATTTGGTTCGTGAACCTAAGACGCTTCTCGAAACCTCAAAATGTTTTATATGGTGTTCCCACCACATTCGAACAATGCTACGGAGATATCGGTGCTCAAACATTGACAATCGTAATGTGTCATCTATACGTAGTGGCTCTGTTTCGGGACCATGCAGAAGCTCGGGCCTGACTGATGCAGCGCACACTCAACCTTTGGTAGATAGAGGAAAGTTATGTGGACGCCACAGATGACTCACGCTGATGAAAGCCAGACGCGTCCTATGCATTCGCAATGACACCTCATCCGATATGAAATTTCAGGGTGAGAAACAGCAGCCCATATAAATGGGCTTGTCTAACTGGTATATGATTTCCACAGGTACTGAAAGGTTTTGTGTTGGACGAACCGTATCCTGCAATAGCATGTTGCACATTAAAGATGCAAAACGCCTACCGAGTTTTGCTACGCAGCTAGTCAAGCTGATTAGAGGAGGTTGCAACTTAAATGACTTTTCGCTTAGATGAATTATATTGTCCGCATATTCACCTTTCCACCCATTACAAGTTCAATACCACTAACTGACTTGGTAAAAGTGTGTTATCCAAGTCCATAATGGTCTTCAAGTAAGTGAGAAAAGGCAAATAGGGCAACGTTTTTTTTTCTCTCGCTTTTCCTGGTGAACTCAGGTGAAATGGTACGTAAGGCCGCAGTTGGGTTCGACTGGTCACGAGGTGGGATCTGACGATGGTAATAAACTTCACCGGTACACCCGTCAACAAGAGTTAGAGCCAGGGCCTGGTGAGGTCCACTAAATAGCAGGTTGCTTTATAATCAAAAATACGAGAATAGTAGTCCTATGGAAGGCTTGTCTATAATCTAGCATTTGTCGGACAGAGAAAATGTGATCAGTGTAATCCCAACTAGATCTGAACCCAGCTTGATTCTCGGGCAAGCACTGTTCACGAGCACCATCATGGTGAATGGAATAATACCGGCGAGTACTTCAAATGCCATGCTATTCGGACTTATTCTTTTGTGGTTTATACAGGAGGATTCACCTACTCTCTTTTGAATCGCTTCGATTACCGATTCACACCAGTTATTTGGAATTTAATTGTTGTCCTTTACCAAACAGAGGAGTTTAGCCAACTCCAATACTTGTATTCAGCCACCGTCTTTGGAAACAAACGACAGCAATCTAACCTTTTCAGCAGACCTTTATCAACTAACCTAGTCCATCTCACGGGGAATCTCCCTTCCTGACGGGCCACTGGTATCTACAAACAAAGCTGAAACTAAAGTGCTACCTTATAAGACTGCAATACATAGAGGCCAACTAAACTGCTTCACTGACTACTCCGCCCAACGAGTAAGACTATGCTCCTGTGTTTGACTCACTGAGTCGTTCGTCTGTTCATTCAGATTTATGACGCTTGGGTTTCATGGATCGGTATTTCTAATTAGACGGAAACGTTTGCGGCTGTTTCAAATCGCCGCAGCTTTTTCCATACACATACACTTCTTGATCTACCTCTGCTAACGTTCGTTCCTCTGACTACGAATAAGGTAACGTTCTAGGCATCTGCATACCTCATCATACACGGAATGTAGAGGAGTCGATTTGCTAGTGTATAACTGCAACACTTGGGATGCAGATATTCCTCGTTTCGTCTCTGTCTGGTTGTTGGACCCTGGGCAGAATTGGAGACCTCATATAGAGCCCAGTGTTTCTCGGCCCATAACGTTTCTGGATCCTGAGTGTTTTACTGCATCACTAACCTGGTGGATGATGCTGCTCGGAAAGTAGATCGATGGTTGCCATCCAGCGGCAGCCGCGGAGGATGGACAGTTTTGGTTTTATTTCAGCTACCAACGAGATGTGGACTGAAAAGAGTGCGGAGGACAGCGTGGTCAACCTTCGCACCTGTGGACCAAAATCATCGATATTTTCGAGTTGAACCACACCAACGGTAACCATAGCATTATAGTCCATCTGAGTCCAACGATGTGCATGGGTCAGAGGAGGCCAACTTACTCAGTGACTCTTCATGTGCCAGAAATCCGTCATTTCTCTGAGTAATTCATGGTAGGATCATAGTTGGATAAGTGGGTCACCGATATCGGTTAGATCGGCTGGGACATCAAATCGGCCTCTCATATGTTCCTCCGTCTCTCCTAGACTTCAAACGTGAGCATAGAAATCACCAGCAACAACCATAATGGTGGTACAGCGCGCGCTGTGCAGCATTTGGGATCACCTGTGGTAGAATTCGTCTCTAGCCTCAGAGGGCTGAAGTCAGTGAAGTATGAAATTCTTCCGCAAGGAAAACTGGAGATTTCTGAGAAAATCATGCCTTCACCGCAGTAGGAATTTTCTTTTTTCAACCCTAACGGAAGACTTTAGCTCAACAGTCTGATGTAGAAGCTGAGCGGTGAACTAGCAAAGGAACGAGACGGGAGAACACCTGATGGAACGTCTTCCGGTCAGCCACGTGAGACTTGATGATTAATTGCTTCTTGGATCGTCTTCGCTTGTACTTTGTGATCGATCTGGTTATCGGACTCAGTCCTTAGGCCAATGCGCCCAGTAGGACATGCGGAACTTAGACGAGACAGCATTTTCAGAGTCGGAAGATGCCACGTTTTGGCCAGCTATAGCTGTCCAAAGAAGTGACTTCTCCTCCGTCGTACATCTGGTGAAAGATTTTGATCGCCAATCTGTTTCAGTCCATGTTTGTTCGTTGTAATGTCCCATCCTAAGGAATAATGATTGGAATCAGATGTTCCCAGAAACTGGATCAAAGACTGAACTTCGAATGGAATGTACCTACTGATTTCTCAGATAAGATCGTATTTCTGGTTTGGAAGCCATTTGGCACAACACTTTGGGTCATAGATGCACGCAAGTTATAACGAAACGTCAAAAAGCAGTTCCGTCCATAGGGTCAGTTTGATCTATTATTTTTAGCATTCACACAGCAAGAAGAATTGCTGTTGCATTTCCAAATAAACTATGCTTTATTTGCGCCAAAATTTATTCGACTCCGTCAGTGACCACCAGTTAATAATGTGAAGTGGAGGACCGATAATTGTGAATAGTAATTCTGGCATAACATATTGCAGCTGCAAACTTACATCTACATCATTCAAACCAGGGGTGACTTCATTTTTAAAGTATATCATCATTAGAAGAGAGGGAAAAAAATTACATGGATATGATTCCAAAGTTCAAATGTCCCGCTGATATTCTCACTGCCTGTTTTAAATTCCTATTCTTGCCAATAATTTATTTTCTAATCTTTTGACCGGATCATGAACACCTCGGTTTAGAATGGTCTACTGAGTCCACGTACTTATTGTTATTTTTCATTTCCAGACCAGGAGATGCATATAATATTAATCCATTGGTGATTTTGAGCTATTTAGACCGTATAAACCAGTATTCACCATACCTCTGGTGATATACTTGAATTTGTCAGTCACTGCATTCATCGTAAGAGCCCGAACTTTAGTCTGCTCGTAAGTCGGCATGCTTTTACCCATGACTTATTATTTGTAATCAAATGTCACCGCGATTAAAAATGTATTATTTACAACGCTTTGTGTTTGCGGATTTTGTACAGGAGTTTCGGATACATATCAGGCCGATCATCAACAAAACGATCAGGATGCAACAAGCAAATGGAAATTTATATACCAAAGGGGATTTTCAGTGGCAGTTACAATCAAATTCTGGACAAGTTGTAGGCACTACGACAAGTCTGATAAAAGTGGGACTATCAGTCAACATATGGGGAGTGTGACCACAACTTGAGCGACACAAAGATGGTATCAATTATAAGCGGTCAAATTCATCAAGAGAGTATTTTATCAGAACCACAGCTTGTGAGGTAACAGGTGGACATACTCAGGAGAAACAGTTGAATGCTGAGCAAGTCTTTATTCACGATTCTCAGTTTTCAACCATATAACCAATATTACCACTGCTGGTTGATTGGTCCGCAGCGTTGTGGCATTTTTCTTGACTTGTTCCAATATTTTTGTACACCAACATCTATCATACGGGAATTGAATTTTGGATAAATATCCATAAAGCGCGTTCATTGGATTGGGAACCAAACCAACCTACTCTTTCCGCACGAGAAAGTCATTTGACTCCTCACCCAAGAAACTTCGTTTTGTGGCTAAATTTGCTGGAGTTTATGTTTATAAATGTTTCTGTTCTTCTCTGATTTGACTGAATAACACTGAGGGGTTGAATAGTTGATTAACGGAAATCCATGAGAAATACGCCATTTTACTATTTTGACGGTGTACATAAAACAGCAATAAGCGTGAATGATTTCGAAACTGGGAACAAAGCTTAGTCATTTTGGGACTCATACACTAATTAGTTTTGCCGTTCCGAGGGCAATATAATATGACTCAACCAGAAAAAAGTGCCAATCAGCTGGTAGAGATGAAAACATATGCGGCGCGAATAAACAGCGGAATATTCTTTCTATTCATTTCCCCATACAGAATCGTATGAAAGGACGAAATAAATCGCCGAGTTGTTTTATGATTACTTGATTTTCCAAAGATCGCCTGCTTCTTCATCGAAGAAGAGGTGTTCCATCACATTTCTGGATGAGATCTCAATGCGGGGTGATTAAATGAGCCTATCCGTTGCGATGATTAGGTGATTGAGACCAAATTGCATAACTGTATCATTATCATTCCAAGTATCACTTTAAAACTACCAACCTACCCCTGAATCTCGGTTGACGAGGAAACCTCACATTCGCGGGAAATGAGGTCACAGCATGAATAATCAACTTGTTGCATATTGTCAGTACCAAGGTAGTGTCAGTTACGTGTTAATTATATTATAATCAACATCCCTTATTCGTACTAGTCTACAATAAATATGTTACATCATCTGGGATGAGTGAAACGCAAAAAACATATATTACGCTATTTATGTGGTGTTCACTATGAAGTCTAAAATTGCACCTGACTGCCTTACCTATTTAACCCTTTTTATTTCATTCCATTTTTCCAAGAGAACCAATTTTATTCCATAATGTCCTGCTACTACTCTTGCTTCAGTAGACACTAAAAGGTCTTCCTGATAGCATTTTGCTTAAAATCGGCCGTTTCCAGGTACACTTGAATTCAATTCCAATGAATAAAGATTCAAACTGAATACAGTTCGTTCAGAGAACTTAACGTGCGATCTACGTTCAGCTTGCACTAGTGAAAATGTTTATGATAAAAAGCGTTCAGTGTCACCAATCTTACCATTTTGCGTTCCTCCACGATTGTGAAATACGTTCATATAGTAATGTATGAATAGACCCACATCAAATCCATCAAATCCGTGCTCGACGAGATCGTACGGTTCAAGATTGTGTGAAGACAGGGTTCCAGGATCAAAATCTCACTGCTCCCATAGCTAGCAACAATGAAAGGTGATGAGCTCGACACCCATGAGCAAAAATAAACATGCACACCTCACTACTCAAAGAGACAGAAACAGCCAACTCGAAAGTGTCGGCTGTTTGGAATGATTACAGACAACGTATGGCATTTTCTCATTCATGGGTCGATAGTTTTGTTCTAGACCGAAACGTTGTAGTCAATTCACTGGCCAGTAGAATATTCGTGCAAAACGTACGTAAGGACAAATTCAATCCATTTATTGCATGAACTGGCTAGATCCCGTGTATTGCAAGTTCAATGTATACAGAAAGAGCTCGGGACGTTTTGTCTACTGGTCTGTGTGCTATAGTCAGATGTAAGTCGAAGGTGTAACAGTGGTGAATGTGTGCTTGTGTGTGTGTATGTATGTGTTTTGTTACCTGACTCAACTGCATTTTTAGAAAAGCCTGAATGAAAGGAAGAAATAAAGAAGAAACGCGTTATCACGCATAGGTCCGCGCACAGTTTCTCACTTCTGTGATTTTAGTAATTATCTTAGCAATTTTATTGATGTAAGAGATTTAAAGTGCAAATAAAAATAGTTCATTCAAACGTGACATAATATGTCTCAGCATTACAAACGTGAAGCAGATGCTAAGGATTCTGCGATGAACTTCTCCAGCTCTGTGATGATAAGAACTAATATGTATCTGATCACGTGGTACGTGACACAAGAAACTGCTTGGAATCGCGAACGTGTTTATTAGTCACATTTATGTAGCAATGTATGCCATGTATGACATGTTTATGGTATAATAATTGTATTACTTGTCGTAGCAACCGTGAAGTTCATAATACATACGATATCACGTGATACTGTTCTCATTGATCGGCATGCGGTTTGTTTTGCAGTATTCGAATTCGCAAATGGAAACAATTTGTATGACTAGCGTGATTGGGTTGCACTAATAGAACTCATTTAAAACGTGGTCACAAACAATCGACTTCCTTTTGTCTATTTTTATATTATAAGTTGGTGCAAAACATCACGTGGTTCAGTTTGATTTTTGTCGAAAATGCTGTCCGTCATGTAGGTGAGGTGAGAATAACTTGTTTTTGTATTTCTATTTGACCAAATTTGTTGCGTCGACTGACGTTCGCACTTCAGTCGGAAAACCTCATAGTTTGCATCTCATTGAATCAGAGGGACACAAAGAAAGATTACACATCAAATCTGACAGAAATGTGGCTGATACTCGTGCTCAGTTTGTGAGGAGTCAAGCAACATGAGGAACAGTAGCATTTTTGTCGATGTGAATGCGAGAGGTTATGGATAGTAAGGAAGAACGCGAAGCAGTGGTGTTATTACAATTGGACAGCATGCAAGGCTTTTGTGGACGAACTATTACCATTTGAGCATGAGTATTTCGCACAACCTGGAATATATTTCAGTAAGAGGTATAAAAATTGCCCGATTGGTACTAGGCAGACCTGCACAAATAATTGAATATTCTCGTAAGTAGATCAGAAAACATACCAGGGAATAAAGAGCGGGGCTGTTGGTCAACCGGAAGCTTTCAGTTCAGGAAGGTAGGAAGATGGCCGGATAGGTTATAAAGCTGATGAGTAGCTAACAAAAATAAATGCTAAAGACTCGAGTGATCTACCCAAGGATTTGGATATATGGTGGACTAGGGAAGATAAAGTATTCGAAATGGGCCCGTTTGTTTTATGGACGAATTGGTAAAGATCATTGGCTAGGTCTTTGAAACAAATCAAACATTGATGAACGTCAAGCTCCGTAGGTTAGGAACCAGATGAATTTGGATCAGTGGGACAAACACCTTCAGCTAGGAAACTATGACTACAGGGTTTGGGTACATGAACAATAGTGACTGGTCTTCAGTAGTCGGGAATGGAAAACGAGCTCAATGATTTGTTCAAGAAGTAAGTAAAAGCATCTATCAGGGCTACAGCACTATTTTTCAAAAGCGATGATGACGGGCCGTCAGGACCAGTATCTTACGTTATTCAGAAGACGCATGAAGCCCCAATACATATTCTGTAGAGAACAGGGTAATGTGTATACCATTTTCTGGAATAAACGCAATTCGAGAGTTTTTTATTTGATGGATGAATGCACTGCTGATATTGTGAACATGCGCAGCGAATTTCGCGTTTCGTTTTCTTTCCACACCATAACTAAATGTTTCACCATAGTCGTATCTATTGTGGTTACATGGGAGTTGACTAGCATACATCGAGTCAGTGCGTTTGAATTCTTTCTTTATCAAAAGGAAAATTGACCTTACTTGAGAATTATCCCAGCTCTTGTTAAAATATTCCTCCCGTCTTGCAACGGATTTCAATATCGAAGAAATGCCATGGCGGTTATAGAGAAGTGGCGGCATATGTTGAAAATAAATTGATTGTCTCTTTGGGATATTTGAAATTGCTACATAGCGACGATTTGAAATTAAACCAGAATGATGCATGATAAAGGGATTACTTTAGGAGAAGATAGCCGTCGTGAGAAAACGTTTAGGAGACGATTCTATATTAGGCTGTTTTACTTGAAGTAGTGGGAAGCACGAATAAGACTGCCTTCTATGATGTGCAAATCGTCATCTAACAAGGAATCCGGGAAACTTAATAGAAAAATAGTAAGATGAAGTAGAGTTTTCTGTACGAAACGGAGCTACATATAAGCTTGTTTTGATGGTTCCCATAAAGCGAGAAAACTTGAGACGGCACCAAATAACTGATCGACCAATACCGTTCACCGAACATGAATAAAGGACTTCGGACTTACCACACTCGGTGAAGTTGACGTAAGTGACCACTGCGCAATGAGAATTGTTAGATGACGTCCTGTTCTGCCGGAACAGTTTAAAGCAATCTATTACCAGGAGTGAGTCAGTTATACATGAGTTTGTTCACGCCTCTTCCACGAAATCCGCTAATGTATGAACATGAACGCGGGAACGAAGAACAAGTCTAAGATCGGACACTTGCACGAACCGAGGACGTACTTCGGCGCTGAACATTAGCGAAAGGGTCATCTTGGCTAAAGGTTGCAGTTAAGGTCAGCCTGTCAGCCAACACGGATGAGTTTTTGGGTCGATAATGAAGGATTCCTTGGTGTGAATGATCAAATAAATCTGATTGAACGGAAGATCCAATAGTCTGTTTCAGTGGAAGTACTTCTGACCACGTTTAGCGGCGTGCAGCGATCATAGCGGGTAAATCCCTTCTATTCGATGAGGTGATGATAACCAGGGAGACTTATTCAAAGGATGAGCATCATTACGTGTTGAACAAAGTGAATAAAACAACATTTCGCAGTCTGTATTTCCAAATGTCAAATTTGGTGTAGTACAAGACCATATCGAATGGATAGCTTGTTGTGGTGCATCGGTTGGTAGTTGAACGTGTAAAGTGGAATTTGAAGACAAATCTCTCTGCTGATCGTGATTCGGAATGCATGCTGCATATGAAACGTGCAAATAAATGCTGGTTGAAGTACCGGCTGTGGAAATTGATTTATTTTAGAATGCTTCAAAATGTCCATATTTCTCTTTAGTTCCAAACTGCTGTGTGCGAGAGAGATTTGAGTCAGTTTGCCAGCCTAATTGCCACGATAGATTAACAGTCGCCTGTTGGCAAATGGAAACACGTAAACGACTGGATGTCACCCACGGAAACATTTCATTTCTCTTAGGAATACGAACAATTTTATCCGATCCTATACATTTTTCATTTTTCATTGTGATTGAGAAATGTACTGACTGCGTGTAGTTTAGAAGGAATATAAATGTAAACGAACAAACATGAAAACAGTTATGCACGAACATTTTCCCTATAATCGTTGATTCCCATTAGAACACAATAATCGCTGCCTCAAGCATATGCAGATAACATATTGGAGATCATTATTATGAACGTGAAAACTCTTTCCTTATATACTACAGATCAAACTTGCATGGACAGGAATCAGGAAGTGAGCCTGATGCACGATTTCCTGATGCTTATCATTGAATGGAGCTGTTTGCGATCCTTGTGCAAAAGACAGAAGTCCAAAAACTGGAACATCTTTATGTAGCTCATCTTTGTTATTGGAAAATTCAGTTTTCTACTGATAAGGCTGGTAATTTGCTTCCACAGCAAGAAGTAGGAAATATCTTTGATATTGATCGTCTTCCTCGGCTGTCTGTTTTTCAGCTCTACCAAAGGAACCATTTCGGTTAGGGGGACAAAGAACATACATATGCATGTTTCAGTGGGTTTTGTTTTTGTGATGCTGATTTATTTGAGCACTAGGATGGTAATGTGGGGAAGTGATGCATATTTGTAGTGGTGATCTAGTGGGCTACAGCATTTTCCTACCATGTCTGAAGTCCGAGGTTCGAATTCCTGTCATCAACGGTTACTTTTGTGGTAGATAGCAATCCACTGTGGTCCGGATGAGTTACATACCTGATCTAATGACGCCTTATATGATTCTCCGCCACCTAAACCCTCGGTATCTGGTTGCCCGTTATCCCCAATAGTACAGTTGGCCTTCGTGGTTATGAAGTAAATGCCCATTCCACTGCACGTATGCACAAGCATGTAATACAAAACGTGGTAGCTGTTTCTTTGTCGCTGCCAGTTTCATTGTAGTGGTGGGTGGGATTTTCGACTAATCCAACAACCAATTTCACTTTGCGATCGCAAGGAATATTCAATACAGATTTATAATGCATGTCATCGCTTAGCACTTCAGCTGAACTGAAACAAATATTACCGTCAATGAGATATAATATACTCGTTTTAGTTGTTGGATACACATGCCTCGTCCTATTCAATCCATAATTATCCAGGTATTTTCATTGAAAAGTGAAAATAAACTACGAAGAAACTACTGTAATCCGAGCGTCATTATTTCTGATACGTCCTAACAATGCCAACAAATTGCTGAACCAAATGAAATAGATCAAGTGAACACACTGCTGACTCCTCACTTCGTGGAATACAATACAATACATTCAATCGCTGGAGATAAACGCGAAGTTTCATTTTCACACTTGTAATTTTCTACGACAGCGATCAGCCGGGTTTTCTTTAGGTCTACCTCAACCAACTCTTACAGACATGGAATATAAGTAATTTTGGGTGGGTCAGGAAAGAATTCGTACATTGTATTCACTCATATGATTCGTGCTTATGTCTTTCCTCCAATTCCAAATCCCTTAGACACACCTGTGAACAAATTAAAAGAGAATAAAAAAATTGGATATTTTTTACCAAGATTACTGGTGAAGGGCCAGGCCACTTCCACGTCCATATTTGGCCTGTGCTTTAGAAAGATCTGAGGTGAAATGAGTGCCATGCCTGTTTCCACGAACCATTGTGGGAGAGACCGTTTGACACAAATGGATTCATATCAGTGTATATTTTGAGAAGTGAGATGGCACTGATCATTAAAGAGCAGAATTTATAAAAACACGACTGTTTTGCTAGTCTGGAAATTTGGCCAACGACACGGTCAGATTCTACTGTTTATTATATTTCTTTTCCATACGTATATATATATATATATATTATATATACATATCCGATTTCATCTGTTTACTACTGTTATGGTCAGAGAACATATAAGTGTTCATTTTGAGGAGCTGATCGATCTTGCTATCTGACTCCGATCTTTGCGCCTGAAGCTTAAATAAAAGTATCTGCGAAAATAGAATACCGAGTGTCTGCACATTTACCCCACCAAGTTACAACCCCGACCGTAGTAAGCTGTTGTGAAACGAAATTGTTTCATTGAGCTCCCAACTGACGATTTGGATATGATCATGACAAGTCTCCAGTGCAGTTCATTATTACTCTGGTTGCAGCCGTAAAAGTTCGTTTCTGACAATAAGAAAACTCACAAGAAAGGGCTTTTGTGTGACATTTCTTTAAGGTAAATAACGTACCTTTGTTCAAAAGTCAATTTCCGATTACCACCGAGATGCTTTCCCAACGGTAGTTTCTAATGGAACGCACAAGAATAACTGATATTTCAGTCGCCGATGTCCACCGATCATATAATTCAGTTGTTTTGCAGGAGGAGGCATATGTGGGCAAGGGTTGAGTATCGTTATCCACTCCAGTTCAATTGATAATTGGAAAGGCTAACAATGAACAGTTCGGTATCATCTGCCTTCGTATCAAGTGTAACCTGTTTTGAAGAAAATGATATGTCAGTGTGTTCTAGGAAATGCTGGCTGACAGAAATTAACGACTGCAACTACAGAGTAACCCGCCGAGAATGATTAAACGCTTTTCGTTTCCAACTGACACTCAATTTTAAAGAAATATTCGGCGTCTGATTATTGTTACCTTATCACATGTGTCTGCACTTATTCGAAATTTCGGAAAACATGAAGGTTTCGCAGCTGATGCAGCTGAATGCCCAAGTTATCTCAGGCCTAACAGGTACAACGCTGTGAACTGGTACACATATGTAGCACTGATGTCTAAGGGTTGGTCAAATACATCGGAATTTTGTATAGTTGCCTTTGAATGGAACCTTCCATTCTTGATTTCCTGAGTTTGGTTTTCGTGTCATTATTCTTCATTTCTAAAGGAAGACTCAACAGTTATTTTCGGATGACGGAGGAGGAATTCCGAAAGCGCCTACTGCCAGCGTAATCAATAGTCAAACAAGAAACGTTAGACTCTTACGTGAGAACGGAATTATTGATCAATGTGTCGAGATTTCGCTAGGCCAATACAAAACCCTGGGTTATGTGAGATATAGTTTTGCAGTTGCTGCACGCCAAAAATGTTGGTGGGTATAACACTTTTTTTAATTGCTACGTGTGCATTCGTAACCTATAGTAGAATCGATTCACGTTGACGATTTATAGGTTTGCTCCATTTCTACATAGGAATTTCAGTATGTTTATACCAAACTTTTTGTACTATTATTATTATTATAATAAAGCCCGGCTTTCAGGTTTTGCGAGGGAAAGTGTTCGAACGGTCATCTCGCGGTCTTGTCAAGGTTGTTTTTCTGTTCTACTCCTCGTGGTAACCGTGCACGCTTAGCGAATTCGGAGATTTGAACAGCTAATCCGGGAGTACAAGTCCTATGTCGGGAATATGAATTATCATTCATCATTTGATTCTCTCTCTTACTGAAAGCACCTTTCTAAATGGGAAGCAGATGGTGTTTTTCCTAGGCTGACAATTCATTAACACACTGTCCCGTGACCTTTCACTGGAATAACTCCAATAAAAAGTAAACTTCAAATGGTTTTGCCTGGTGAGACTTGTCTTTGAGGTCCAAAAATTGGTGCTACTTTTTCTTGAACTTTCTCCTCTTTACCCCGAGGACTGGCCAAATTCTTTGCTGTTACCATTTGTGCCATGCGCTTTATTGTAATCATGCTTGCATTCCTCAGTGTCACTTTAATAATCCGTTGTTTTATTTTACCACTACAACTGTTCTCGTTGTTAATTTTCGTGTTATTTTTCCGCTACATTTTGATCGTTTCAAATGTCCGCCATAATTTTTTTGCAGGCGTGTATCATTAGTTTCACACCAAAATGCAACATACCAAAAACGAGCAATTACTTTCACAGACCACTTGTCAGCAACCCTCGACAAGTCCACGGTGCTGCGGTGTTGTTTCCTTAAATTTTCACCTATAATACCAAAAGACTCGTTTCTTCCTAATCTATTGTACTCAGATGATTTGAGGATGCTGTTCTGTATTTGATCATTCTCAAACCCCCCGTGTTCTAGAGATGTGAAGCTAAAAATACGGTTTTTTGATCTCACTTCAATATTCATCACTCCGTTTTACTGGGCATGCTTATTCGTGTTGCGAAAACAGGAAATGTTGCTAGCTTGGTTATTATTTTGAAATCGTCCGCGTAGAAGTATTGGTGACAACAGAATGGAGAGTTGAGGCAAGTTTTCATTCGGTAAATTATTGACCGAATCAGCTAGATTTTCTGATCAATAATTTGAACTATGCGATGATTGATGTTACATTCATACTGTATTACGCGA